TTCTGGGATTCTCTAACTTGTTCATCATTCCTTCTAGCCTAATTTGTCATTATAGAATATACCTGTAAGGGGTACAGCATAGTTGACACAGATGCTGGCCAAAAGAATTGATAAGGTTCTACGAAGAGAGAAGGGGAGAAAAGGACACCCTCTGAGCAGTCTGGCCGGCTGTCCTAAAAAAGAGAGACGTGCGCGCGCACAGGCCAATGTTGCCTGCCGCGAGAGTAGAGCACTCGCCTGGCAAGATTGCCAGGCATTTCAGCCGCGGGCACTAGCCCCATGACAATACCAGAAGCTCATAAATTCAGTTTATTCCTTTCATAATATAGTGCGCCTACAAGCACTTCTATTAACTTACAAAAGCTTCTACACTTTGGAAGCTTCTAGATACTTAACGTTCGTGTATATAAAGACTTCTTCTCTTTTTTAGTTAGTCACTCCTTAAGCAAGCAAGCACAATCAAAGCATTACAATACAGTCTACTTCTGTAGTACAGAATTCACTATAATAGTTATTTCTCACAGTGCAGAGTTCACTGTACTCTTCTTTCTTGAGAGCAGAGTTCTCTCTAAGATCTCTTTCACAACCTCTCTCTATTGTCTTTGCAACTACGCTGCTTTCTTCAGCACTGCTGCCGTACTTCCTACCGCTTCCGCTCCGCTCTGCTACAAGTGCATAATTCACTGTAGCATCTCTGTACTGGTGTTATTATTATAAGCCAGTTAGAGCATTGCAGCAAATATAAAAATTACCTAAATTACCTATTTAAGTTCGCTATATTTCAAAAAGCTTGTAAATACTTAATTTCAAGTCAAATCCTAAATTTAAAACTATACAACAAAAGTTTACTCGCTGTATAAACTAAACTTACTCTTGTATAGATTACTATATTATCTGTATACACTCGTTAAAAGTTGGTTATGTATAATCCTTTTTCTCTTTTATATATAATCCTCCTCTTTACTCTCATATACTCTTTTAAATCCACTTATTTTTATACTTTTTATAATACTACATATTTTACGAACCTTCTTTTATTTTAGTATCCCACTAATTTTTTTAAATTATTAATCTTTTTTAACTAAAAGAGGATTAACTTTATACCTAAAATGGCAATATTAATATTAACTGTTGTAAGGGTTCTACGAGGTACACACGCAGGTAAGCCTTGGTGAAAGTGATAATATTCGACAAAGAGGAAAAGAGAAGTCTGTGCTGGTATAGCATGGAGCTTACAGCTAAATACACAAGAGAGGTGCGGATATCGAAGGTGCTAGAAACGCCAAGGTCGAAAATGTGGTTCGTGCGGCGCACCCCAGGAGTGTACCCAGTTGGAGGGCAGGCCTGGCTTATATAGAGTTCAAGCCAGGCAAACACCTCTAGGCGTCAGCCCCATGATAACTGTCACGGCACGTAGTTCTCAAGAGCAGTGCATACGAATAATCTGACGAACGTAATGAATAATTAACTATAAGAAGTAAAAGAAAGAACAGATAGTGCTGCCTGTCACAGGTTGACATTGGCTATATAGTGTGCATTCCGAGTTCTGCCTTGCAAGCAGAACATCGTCCCATCTTTTGTAGGTTTGGCCGTCTGGGCATATGCACCCCAGCCTGTCACACTGCCTTTAGCTAGCATAGTTCAATACAGAAATGAAGTGAGTCCAGTGACAGGAAGAGTAGACCGTCACGTGAATATATGCACCTAAGCAGAAGGCATAGATTTCAGCTATGACATTAACAACGACGAGAACTTTTTTATACGTACAATTTTAATTGCAGTTGTAGTAACTATAGTAGTAAAGTAAACTTACTACGTAACGTATAAATCCTCCCAGTTACTTTCCGCCAGCGAACCGCACTCGCTACTATACTTAATTCGTGTATTAGTTTTCTAAATTGCTACTTTACGTTATTTATTATTAATTACTGTCTCTAACTCTTCGTTTGCATTTATTTACATTCAGTTTTAAAAGTCCTACATTTTCTTAATTGCAATACAATAATACTAGTTGCGTATTACTTTCTTTACTATTATAAGAGCCGCTAATTTCCTTGTTGTCATGGGGCTGGCGCCTAGGAGTATCTGCCTGGCTTGAATCCTATATAAGCCAGGCTTGCTCTCCGGTTGAGTGCACTTCTGGAGTGCGCCGCACGAACCACATTTCTGACCTTAGCGTTTCTGACACATTTGACATCCGCACCTCTCTTGTGTATTTAGGTGTAAGCTCCATGCTATACTGGCACACACTTCCCTTTTTGTCTTTGTCGAATATTACCACTTTTACCAAAGCTGACCTGCGTGTATACCTCGTAGAACCCTTACAGTTAATAAGAGTGCTTGTAGGAACACTATATTATAAAAGGAATGAACTGAATCTATAAGCTTCTGGTACATTCCATGATGACAAATTAGTCTAGAAGGAATGCTGAACAAGTTAGAGAATCCCAGAATATAGTGACAAAACCTCTGTATTCTAGCACGTTTTGTGAAAGCTGAGTTGACTGATTCCGTAGAAAAAATAGTTCAATCAGCCTTCTATACTACAAAATAGTACAAGGCAGTTACAAAGCACAGTACTAGCCACACGTTAACAAAATATAATTTTAATAATTAAGCAAATAAATTATTTTTCTGGAATTTATTAGTATTTAATTTTTAATTGAAGAATAGATAAGTTGTTACGGCGAATAGAAGGAAGGAATGTGACAAAGCGACAATGACCCTATATTGAATGAAGATCAAAAGATGAGGAAAAAGAAAAACTAGAATACAAAGAATGGCTGCGGCGCAAAGAATATACTATGTACTGCCAAGAACCATGCAGCTATAGAAGCAATGCTGACTAGAGGTTGAGCCGCGCCGTCATATAAGTATAATATATATATTTAATAATTAATACTTTTGAGTTTTTTAAAAGCGGCCGCTATTTCGTCGTTTTAAATAATATTCGCAACATTCTCTTTCAATACTGCACAGCAAAATAAAAAAGGACAGCACGATAGTAGCGGTACCTGCAACCTACCTAGGTACCTAGGTTATAGTAAGCTACATCCAAGTATACATATCATGTCAACCACTACCAGCCCGGCCTACTGTGCTTCTGTCATGCAGCTGATGCGTGCCCGGTCATGTTGTCCCGTTCACACAGTACCTACGTCGCTGACCTTTAATGATAACCAGTACCATGGAAGGCTTTTATATTGAATCCCGTCGCTTAAGATATACGCCACTGGGTTGCCTTGGATAGCCTGCGGCTCGGAGAGGTTCCCAACTTTTTTTTTTCAACATTAATGCTTGTTTGGTGTTAATTACTAAGGCGTTGATTGGTTGGGGCCTTAGAGGTCCGAGGAGCATAGTGGTATCGGATTCGAGAGCGGCCCGCGCAACATATCTGGTTGCAGACGGGAACGTATGAGCCGCCCAGATGGACTGTGGCGTTATCAGAGTGTTGCATTGGGGATGTTGAATGTTTTGGATGGAAAGGGGTTGCTCGAAGTCCGCATGTTTGCGGGAGGTATCTGCCGCGCCTGCTATCCTCGTCTGCCAATGTTTTAAGAGACCCTCCTTCGTGGAGAGAGCTATCGTACTCCTTCCTGTAGCACCAACTGTCGTTGGAATAATCCTCAACATCTGTCGTTGAAATAGGATTCCGGCGTAGATCCTGAGACAAGTCCGGATAAGGAAGGTGGATCTCCAGTTTTGAGTGGGTCGTCATCACGGAAGGAGAAGTGGGTCATGCGGCCCCGGGGCTCCGGGCTCAATGATCACTCGACGATTGTACGTCAAGCATAGCTTTTTATCGGGAGGACACTAGTCAGAGGGCTTGAGAAGTTGTCGGAGGCTCCTAGGATCCCTTGGGAACTCATTCCCTCCAATTCAGGTTCAAGAGAATGCGTGTCTCTACTGCCGGATTCCAGATGCAGCCGACACATGATGCAAGATTTGAGCAGTGTAGGAACATCCTGCGGCTTTTCAATGATAGGGAAGCTGCAATTGCAATAACAAACGTGATGACATTGACAACTTCGAGAAAAAGGTTAAGATTTTGACCCAAACATAGAGGTATACGACATCTGTTATGGCAATTTGCTAAAATTCTCACTCTTTACCTCCTCTCCCGCCCAAATGAACGACACTCTGCCACTCGCCGCACCATCCAGTCGGTAAACTTTCAGCTACCAGATTCAACGAAATCAACAAGGCATTCGACCAAGGAAGCACAACGGCCAGTCGATTCCATTTGCATGTTGTCAAGTGATGCCCGCGGTAATAAAGCACCTCGTGACCTCCGTGGTTGTGTCCGTGGTTGTCTCCGGGATTCTGGAGCAACGTCGATGTTTTCCATTGCGAAACAGAAAAGGAAACAAAGAAAAAAAGAAGCGGATGAGAAAAATGAAGAAAAAAAAGATGCGCGGTCCGGGATTCGAACCCGGGAACTCTCACTGTCAGGTGGCAAGGGCCCCAGCCCGACAACGAACACCGTAGGTATTCGAAGTGCTGTTTGAAGAGCGAACGCGTTGACCACTACGCCAACCGCGCCTTTCCTTTGTTTGTTGGAAGGAGCTCTGTTGACCTAATACATATACCACCCATGGAGTGTTAGATAAGGTACCTGTAATTGGATATGGTCTGTCTCCTGGCACTCAGGCTGACATTACATCATCGTCCGCCGGGCTGCTCTGCCCCTTTCCTTCCCCGTCGCAAAGCTTCCCGTCCTCTCTTACCATTTTCGTCGCCATTACAAGCTTCCCACCGGTGCTCTATCATCTTCCATCTACGACTTCTAGTGTGGAGGATGATAAGGTCATCCATGCGCATTGCTTAGCCGCGAGCATTGCTGCGGATGGCAGGGAATTGTGAGTACCTACCTAGAGGTATCTTTCTGACCGTATACCTCCTCATTGCTAACCTGTCATACAGCGTTGCGCGCATCCCTCTGTGCTCTATGTTCACCCTGGGCTTTGCTTATACTGCCGTATACGCGAATGGCCTCATCCCAACAATCACCCAGATTCCGAACGTACCGCCGCCGCGAGCGCATGACCTGCCGTCCAGCCCCGGCCTTCCTCTTGCGCGATGCCAATCTCTAGTGGGCGTTACCCAAGGAAGAAGATCGAGGGCGTGCAATAAGGCATATACCGTCCTGGCAGTATACATGCGCGACACAGGAGCTCTCGAGGACCGCATTGAGCAGTTGACCAAGGTCCAGCGCGGCGCCAACGACGGGTTGAACAAGCTCGACAACAAGTGCAAGGCAGATGGTACCTCTCTTAATTCTAAAACTTTCTCCTCTGCACATCTGTTCAGTTGGGGCGAGGTTCAGATCTATTCGTGGTGCTGCCAAGTCTGGTCCAAAGTTCCTTGCCCTTCTCACGAGGGTTGTCCCTTCCCTTTTATCTCCTTTATCAACAAAGAAAGGCTGACCCTGATTGAGGTTGCCACCTCATCTGCTCCTCGCTTGATCCAGTCCCTGCCGTGTAGCGGGGTGGTGTCGGAAATGCCGGGCAGTGTTAGGGTAAACCTTGGACACTAGTACCATAGCAAATGTGTCGAGTAGGTACCTCTACGTGGTGTTTGAATTCGATGTGGTCTATCGCCATAGGTGTGGTGTGTCTTCCAGTAAGGTATGCGAGCGCGACGATATTGACCCCGGCACCCTTGTGCTCGACCTCCTATACGATCGCGCCGATATCTTTTGGTCCTATGTTCACCACCGCCGTCTGGTTGAAAAAAAAATAGAATCGTCAGCCAAATCTCGGCTTGGCAGACAGGGATGTTCCAGAGGAAGCTAAACCATATTTCCGGACGTTGGCAGGCTACGAAGCGGCCAAGCATCTTCTATCACATGAGTTCAACAGGTTCTCGTGGGTGGCAGAGGCGCCTCAGGGAGTTGAGCATTACTGCTCCAAGAGAGCATCTGCGATCGGGCATTTCTACTCGAAGGCGATCGAGAGTGGGCACGCCGACGCAATCGACTGGGAAAGACTGGATTGGAACCTCCCTCTGCTCGGACCATTCTTTTGTCTGCCTGAAAACAAGACTGACCGCCAGTCCACTGCCAGTTCTCCTCGTCCTGTCTTTCGCTTTGTTCTGGGTACTTTCAACCCGATGTAAGCAAACAAATAGAAGATTCGTCCGAACGTGAATGAGTTCCCACTTGAATAGAAAGAGCCCCAGGAATATGTCAAGCGTATGACCAACCAGACACCAGAAATCTTCAGACGTATAGGCAGGAGCCTCATCCCATGCCCCTACTGCAGCCTTACCCACTTCGGTGTAAGACTACCCGACCCAAGTGCAAGCCTTGCGCAGGCCACTGCCGCCAACAGAAGCCACGACTGTTACCCTGAGGGATTCAAGGACGTGATGATGAGATTCTATAATCCCGGCCTGAGTCGCGAGCACAAGCTCGCCAAGAATTACACCAACGCTGCTGGCCGCTGGCCTAATTTTGAGATGAAGGACATAGCCTGTTTACTGTATGCCTCGTGGTATGACGTCTGGCACCAAGTTTACCAACGCCGGAAATATACCGACCCTCTCGAATGGACTCATCATCAACATGAATCTATCCACAACAAGGACCTCCCCTCAGTTTGGCATGCGAAGCCAACAAAGCGCATCTTCCCACCGGGCCGCCCGTCATATCTCACGGTCCACTGACTGGAAATGATTCGGGCATGTGTTTCCTTTCTCATATCCCGTGCGGCGGCCTCGACAGATTCAGTACCCAATGAATTCCAATATCCCTAAAACAGTTCTCGCCCGAATTGATGGGCCAGTCTGGTGCTGGCGGGAAATGGGTGGGGGAGCTCGTAAATCTCATCTGGTGTTGCCTTGTATAAGAACTGTAATATTGTGTTCGTCCTGATGTTGGTCTCCCGGGCGACGATTTGTACCTTCCATCCCAACTTCCCAAAACGGCAGCCTATCCATTTTGTTTGCACAGGAAGGCACCGCGGGCACGCCATCAGCGGTCTGCGCTCGCTGCCGCTGCCGTTGTGCTCCTCCATCGTAGAGTGTACTTCTAATAAAGTTTTGAGCCTCGAGTCTTTCTCTTCTACCTTCCTTTCTCTCCCCAACAGCGCAAAGCTTTCTCACGACGTCGTAAGTAAACAGCTTACATCTAAGCTTCACGAGACTTTGGGAAGCCAGTGTATACTAACCCAAGCCAACAACGCGCACTACCAGTCCGGCGATCCATTCTCTTGCCCTGTCTTTGTGTGTTGTTTTCTCAGCAACACCACCACAACACCACCAACAGCACCACAACCATCACAACAACCACCACCAACGACACCATGGCCCATCTCCTTGCCTCCCTCGGTGCTGTCGGCGGTTCGGCTGCCCTCACGGGTACTGCCCCCCTCCTCGCCGCCGCGGCTCCTTCACCGGAACAGCACCAACCGGGCGCTCACGCCCCGGGGTGTGCTTCCGCTCACGCGGGCGCGGCTGCTGAGCAAGAAGATGACGACGACGACGACGATGCCGACGTCGAAGAGGTATGTGCCCATCCCATCTTCATCATCGCATGGCCATATTTCCTCCTGCCTTTTTCCTTTGCCCTTTCCTTTTCCCTTTCCACTTCAACATGATGATCTGGAAGTGATGGGAGAGTCAACTACAGTTTGGTCTATCTCGTTACCACCGGACCACATCAGCACCCCCTCCACCACAACTTCTCTTTCGTCCACCGCAATTCCCAGCCATAGAACAGTTTGACTAACTCCCCTCTCATTCATAGATATTCGTGGACTTTTGGAGGGAGATCGAGGTAAGCCGGATCTGAACCAGTTTCGAGACCAGACTTAATACCCAAGCCCACTGACCAACACCTTTTCCCTTTTGTCTCTACCTTCTTGCCTCCCGTCTTGTCCTCTCAAACCCGACGACCCTTTTGAGAAGATTGGGGCGGACGCCGCGGCTTTTGTTTTTGAGCAATACCTTACTTTGCCCTTTGGAACAACCTGCGGAGCTGGACCTCCTCGATTGGCCATGCATGTTTGGGTTTGGGGGTGCTGCCGACGCCTTATGCGAGGTTGAGCGAGGTTGAGCGAGGTTGTCCGAAAGAATAGAATGAGGGAATGGGCGCGGAGGGCGAGAGCAATGCATCTCCTAGGCCGGGAGCGACTGTAAAGGTGTGAGAAACCTCATTGGCGATGTTGAAGCTTTTGAGCGACCTCTCTTTGCCCCAAAATCCTGTGCCCGCTGCTCCCGTTCGGCGGCGGTGGGAGAGATCGAAACCTGCGAGTAGCCTTTTTCCTAGCTCTCTTCGCTGGGCGTGCTCGGGACGCACTGAACAGCAACTTTCAAAAATACCACCACAAGAACCCTTGCTAACTTTTATCGTTCAACAGAGACCGGACACCTCTCGTATCTCGGTGGCTTCGACCAGCAGCGCTACTGCCCACAACGACCTCCCTGCCGCCCCGCCCGCCCACAATCCCGTCCCTCCTCTCACCGAGGACATCGACGCGTCTACCCAGCAGACGCAGCGCAACTCTTCCGTCTCGGGCGAGCAATCGCCTCGAGCTCTGCCCGCGCTGGGTAGAGGACGATGCAGTTTGACTGCTTTCTCGAGCGCAGTCGCCGCAAGTGGTAGTGGCCTTGGCTTTTCTGAGGTCGCTGCCACCTCTGCCACCGCTGCTGTCTCGTCGCAGGAAGAGTCAGAGGAGTCGTTACAGGCTGAGTCTGGGTTCGATGCCTCGGTATTGGGAGAGACGTTGGAGATTGGAACGGCGCGTACAGTCCGGTACGTATGGGCGCCGCAGCAGGCGAGGGTGGTGCAGATATCTGCCCGTCGTGGCTGCCAAGGTCAGGCCGAAGAAGGTAACGAAGAAGGAGAGGAAGTGAGGAACGATGATGTCCAAGGGAGGGGCAGGGAACTCGTTGGCGTTGCTGCTAGCACTCCCACTACCAGGGACAACAGTGGCGTCAACAAGGAGGTTGCAGTTGATGATTATGACGAGGGTATGGAGGACCAGACTGCCGAGGAAGCGGCCGCGCAAGCGGCTCCCGACCAACGCAGGAACCGACGGCACGGACGTGTGTATTCCTCCAAAGAGGTTCGGTCGTTGAGACGCCTCGGACGGGTTTTTACCACCGAAGATGCTCAGTCGGTTCAGTCCTTCCTCCATCCGCCTCCCGGTCCCGCCTCTTCTGAGGACGACAGGGAGGCACCCTCCGATTGATTTTCTCCCTCGCACCCTGCTCCGTCTGTCACTAGTGCTACGGCTCCGGTGGCGGCTCCCGTCGTTCTTCCCAACTTGGGTTCACCGTCGGCTTCGGCTGGCCCCCAAGACTTTCTCGCGGTCCCTCAACCGAGGGTTCCACCTGCGAGCCACGCCGTTGGTGTCGACCCCTACGGCACCGGCGGTAACACTGTCCCAATCATGGCAGTGGGCGAGCAGGCGCCGGAAACGGCCCCGTATCATTCTGATATGGGTCACCGTGCCGCCCTTTCTGACGACGAGGAGCCCTAGGCAACTTGCTCAGAAGAAAGGTCTGGATTCGTGACTGCCATCTAGCAGCCTCTTCGGTCCTGCCGCTCTTCGTGGGCGTACGGCTGGGGGAAGACTCGAAACGGGAGTCTTCCGGGCGTCGACAAGAGTGAAGAGGAGGATATATGGGTTGCCCGGACAGAACAGTCAGCAGGCCGACATGTGGCTGTTTCGAAGGGTTGACGAGAGGAGGAGTTAAAGGTGGGAGAATGTGGGGTGACTAGATGGGTTTTGTGTTGTCGGAGTACGGGTTCCTCTTCGGCCTACATCCACGAAGCTCCAGGTGAAGGGACGGCAGGGCGGCTTGAAATTAGCGTTGGCGTTTTGTGGTCTGGCTTAGCCTGCCCGAGTGCAGATCAAGTTGGATGAGAAGATGGAGGCGAAAGTGTGGTTGGAGGATTTGGAGACGGAGAGCGCGAATAAGATCTTTAGGGGGAGGGTTAGAATTTGGGTTTCGGCACGGGACGGCGTTGGGTTTGTTTTCTCTCGGGAGGGCGTTAGATCTTTGGCTATGGGCTTCTGTGCTGGCGAATACAATGGCAGTGCGGAGTGTTGGTTCCAGCTTGATGACCCAACCCACTATGTCAAGCGCGCGTGTGAGCTGGTTTTCTTCCCATGAGTTTCTTTTTCTTGCCATTCAACCTAATCCCAGGCCAAGGCAGGGAAGGAGAGGGAGGACATGCTCCGAAGGGTGACAATTGCGGATGCGACTGCTCTAACGGATGACGACAACAGATGTCGTAACAAGATACAATCCAGCAGGACAACTTTGAGCCTGCATACAACATCGAGGGAGTCCTCGCTTGCCTTCTTGGGCGGCCTGGAGAGACCTCTCGCACCCCCACGACCTGACCGCCAAGATCAGCGACACAGCAAGGCGACACCCTTCAGGACCACCAGTGCAAAATCAGCTTGCAAGGTGAAACCATCAAGGACCACGAAGACAAACATGACACCCATTCCCGGAGGTTCGATCGTGTCGAGAAAAAGCTAATCGACGTCAACAGCAAGGCCAGCTGAGGCGTGGGAGGGGCCACATCTCAACGCTGAGTTTGTTTTCTCTCGGGATGGCGTTAGATGTTTGGTCCTGGGCTTCCTTCTTAGGTACCATCAAACGATACCCCTAGATCGATTTGCCTGCCATGTCTCACCTTGGTCCTCTATGAGACCTAGGCACGAACAATCGAATTTTATTGCGCTGGCCTCTGTATTCCTCGTTTTTGTCGCGTCCATCTGCTGCTCGAATCGATATACCATTTGTCTGTTTGAAAAGTTGAGTGTCGATGAGATAAGAACGAGTGTCTTTAGCCTTATTCGCCATTAGCACTGAGTGAATTTTGCGAGAAATCGAGGCGAATACGCCCTTGCCTTGCTAGTAAGTCAGCTCCTTCAGCGCCAGGTGCAGAATCAGGAGTTGAGGTCCGATATTTTCCCATTCCGGAGAAGGGGTTCTTTTGGTAGCCATTGGGCTGTCGTAGGCTGATCCAAAAGTGGTTCAAGGAGCCGCTCGCAAGTAAGGTACTCTTCTCGCTCCACCTCCTGCGTCCATCCACGTCCAGTCCCGAAGAAAGTTCGTGAAAGGTGTTTTGGAGCACGGGCACAGGACAATCTTCTATGCTGTAATGGGTGGGTGTTGGGCTTTTTGGGGATGGCGAGGTACAAGTCATGGAGGTGACGATGAGTAGAGGTAGGTACATCTACCATGTTCCTGCGGCTCGCTGCCTGTACGGAGGGCGAGAGCCAAAATGCTATGGGGTACCGAGAGAAACATGGTATCTGCATCCCCTGCAGGCATGATGTTGAAAGTCTCGTTCCGAATCATCTGCGGCGTAAATGTAGACCACTCTGTGTCGTGTTCGTGGTTGGTCTTGTAGGACTGAATAAGAAGTTTAACCTCGAACATTCCTAGGAGGCTGGTGTTGTTGGCTGGGTCGGCAGGACCTTCTGCTTGCCCCGGGTGGCGTAGTACTTCTCGATGAGGAGGTGGCGGATGCTGCGAGGGAGGTGGAGGATTCTTTCGGCGAGAAGGGCTTTGGTGGGTACGGTGCAGACTCCTTCTGCTGCTTTGAAGTTGTCAGAGTTGGTGTTGCAGAATAGCGGCGAAGGGCATTCTGGTGGTTGGAAACAAGGAAGCGGTTGAAGTGTCGACAGCTTTGTCCCTGTCGTTATCTTCGGCTTTGGCGGCATGGGTTTTTGCTTCCTTGTGAAGGCGATTAGGTGATTGGTCTTCAGATTTCCCCTTCCTTCTTCCGGCCCTGGAGTCCGAAGAGGCTCATGACGCGCCTCTGTTGCTCCGTGCCCAGTTGGCCTCATATCGGCTTGGCGCCTGGCCTCCGCGTGACGGACGTCCATCCGCGATCTGCATGCTGTCGGGCTGTCGAAGCAGACACGCAGGGTCATGACCACGGTGCGATGGTACTCGGCCATTTGCTGGTTGTATCTCTGCAGGAGCTGGGCGAGCACGCTCTAAAGCAGGTGATGATGCTTATTCGTGGCGTCACTCTCTTGGTCGGCCTTCGCGTGCTTCCTCACATGGCACGATCCGCACGCCCCGGCTCCCCGCCAACCTGTCCCACTCAGCAAAGCAGCCATCGCCTTTGGCATCACAAGCTCGCCCTCGACTTAGCACCCCCAGGTAAGGTCAGCCAGGAACGTCGCGACGAAGTAATGGTAAGCGAGACATCGACCGCCTAGGGAAGGCTTGGAACAGACTGGCTTTGGAGTCCAATGAGGATGACAGCTGAAGAAGAAAAACGCGGGTTATTTAAAGGGGGTGAGACATCGATATCTGAGAAAGCACAGCATGGATCAGAAACGGCGAGAATCGACAAGAAAACCTGACGAAGGAAATAACCTCAACCTGTAACCACAAAGTCCGATTCACTGGAATGGCGCAGAAAGGAGATAGGGAAACCTTAAAACCTTGAATGCAACATTTTCTGTAAGACCCAGCCAGACCCACCTCTATCCAACCTGGTTTGTACAACCTCCTTCACCATACCGAATGCTTCCACCCTTCACCAAAGGCAACCTAGAAGAACCTAAAAATCGAATCCGGCCCCCTCCTCCTCTTAAACCCGCCATACCACTTACAAGCCGGATACAGAATCGCCAAAACCAGCAACCAAAACCCAAAGAACACCCACAGGTTATCCACGCCCACGGCGTTCTGGCCGGGGTTCCACGGATCCGGGTGCGCCAGCACATGCCCAAAGAAGTGCTTCGCGGGCCTAGCCAGCACGAACTGCAGCGTCAAATGGCCGACAAAGAAAAACAACGCAGAGGTACCAAACACCAAAAGGGGATCAAAGACAATGGTAGCCAAGCGGGGAGGAATGACGCTGAAGAAGGCAAAGAGAAAGAGGTTGCCTGCCATGGTGAAGGCCCAGAAGGCCACGTCGGGCGGGTACTTGATCAGGTAGATGAAGGAGCGCCAGGAGGCCAGGTATTGGTTTTCGGGGCTGTCCGGCTTTGCGTGCTCGGGCATGTGGAGACAGCCTTCGGAGAGATTTCCGGCGTTGAGGAAGCGCGTGCCGATGAAGATGATGGAAAAGGCGATGCCGGCGAGGAGGTTGCCTATCGTAATGGCCTTGGTGCTCCATGAGCGGGCGAGAATGATGCGGCCGGCTACGAGACCGAGGATGGCGAACGAGATCCAGGCCAAGGGGGGAAAGACGGAGATGATGCGCCACTCGGTTTCGAAGACGCGGTAAAACCAGATGCGAGCCCAGATGGTGTCGGGGAGCTTTTGCACGGGTTCGGCGCCGCAGTGGCCGTTCGTTGGGCTGAGCATGATGTTCCACCAGATGGTCACAACTGCGAGGGCGGAGAGAACCACATTGTGGACGTGCCAGGAGATGTCGGCGGCACGGATGATGGCCCGGTCGGGAGCAATGTCTTCGACGCCCCGGCGGTTAGCCAGGAGCGGCTCGGTGGCTGAGTCTTCCTTCTTCTCCGGGAGCAGCTTGAGGATGATGAAGGCGAGCATCTTCTCCATCTTGGCAGTCACAAGCCAGATCAGGCCAGAGAGGAGGTAGTCAACAGCCAAGGCAAACAAGACGATGTTGAGGAACCACGTCTCTCCCAAGGTGATGCCCAGGCTGATGGCGATCATGACCAGGGTCAAGACGAAGGCTCTCGTGAAGAAGTGCCAGGCCATCCGGGTTGTGGACCAGCCTAGGTTGGTTCGGGACCGACCGAAGTAGACGATGCCCATGCCAAGAAGGAAGGTGAAGCCCGGGGCGCAGAGATGGGTCAGCACACGGATGTTGTGAGCAATGGGGCGATTCCATTCGGTGACCGGGACCGAGTCGTTCTCGCCGTGAGGAGCAGTTCCGTGATCCCATGATTGTAGGGCCATGGAGTTGTGGTCCAGAGCCATGAGGACGATCAACAGTCCTCGAAGTAGGTCGGGCGCAAGGGCGCGGGCGGTTGACTTGTGATGGCCATCATGACCTGTTCTCAACGTGTGGGTGAAGGAGCCATAGGTGTAGGAGCCATGTTGATGATGCTGGTTGGATTGAGCCTCAAGAGCAGATGATTGCCCATTCTGGATATGCCATTCTTCGTCTGGGATTGGCTCATGGTCGAGAACTTGAAGGTCGGAGGATGCATCGCAGGCATCGGCCGCAAATGAGGTTTCTTGAACAGCAGGATCTGGTTGCTCTGGAATGTCGACCTGACACGCCTGTGCCGGCCGGTTATCGATTTGGTCCTGCGTCTTCATGACTGCATTGGATACTGTCGGTTGCTGTCACCAAAGATGACACAGGTTGGACGGCGTGAAAAGTGAAGAGAGCAGGTACAGTCTGGTGGGTGAGGGATGTTGAGTTGGCGGAAGTTGTGAGTTGTTAAACCCCGAAGCGGAAGGATTTGAGATGTCAAGTGTGGAGGTCGCGTGTCGCTGTTTCCGATGAGGTCACCCAGCTTTAAACAGACAGTGTGCTGCCTGTTCTCTTGCTTGGACCACCGCATGAGACTTTGCCGGGGAGCCTATCATCTTCGCCGATGCGTTGGCAGTCACTGTTATTTTAGCGGGTGCTGGCTTTGCTGTGCATGCGCTGTTTCACGCTTGTCGATTTGTGGAACCATGAGCACGCCCCAAAATCAACTGTTCACAGGGCTGACTTGGAAGTTGAGAACCCGAGCATTTTCATTCTGATTCATTTTCCTGTCCTTGAAAGTGCGAAATCCTACCATTTTCCAATCTTGAATTTGTCACCTAGACAAGACAGTGCAAGACTCTTGCGGCCTTTCGGGATGAATCACCATCGTCACAACGAACCGGGAGCAATGCATGCCAGCTCTTAAGTCCGGTACGCCTAGGGCCAATGGTGATCGAGATTGGGGCAGATCCTCTGTAAATCCGGGGCATGGCTCGGACTCTCGGGGCCGTCTTCCATCTCATGGCAAACAAACTTCCGAATAACCTCTGGGACACTCGCATAGCATATACGCAAAAGGCTACCTGATGTTGAAAAATGCCCATCAATATTTTCTCAAGAATCTGGCGATTTTTTGTCTGTTTTCCAGACACTTAAGATGTAATTGTGGCTGAGATAATCCGAAGCAGAATGGCAGTTTTTCGCTATGATGTTATGCATCAACGCTGCTCTGGTTGCACAAGATCTTATCTTCGGCGTGTAAATATCATTACAAGTGCCATTCTTCGAGATATGCTGCTCACAAAAAAACCTTAACTCGGTGCCTTCTCAGATCCAAACATCACTAAAACCAAAGTCCGGCAATAGCACAAGGCATATTTCAAGATACCAGATCATTTGGATAAATAATCAGTGGTAACCTGGGCTTCAAGCCCACATGTTTCTTCCCATCTTGTAAACAAGACGCAGAGGCATTCTCAAACGCTCACAGTTCATCTTCGCCTCCAGCTTCCAACACGAACCAACGACTCAACCCAGCCCAAACCAAAGGCTAAAACCACAACCGCAATAACAAGCACCAAAATGTTCACCCCACCACCACCTCCACGCCAACCCCCCAGCTCCCACAAAACTTCCGCGCCGCCGTCCTCCCCGCCCCCACAAAACTTCCGCGCCGTCGTCCTCCCCGCCCCCACTCGCCCCCTCAAAATTCACACCCTCCCCCTCCCCACCCCCGGTCCCAACCAACTCCTCATCTGCGCAGGCGACGCCGTCATCGCCACCGGCCTCCTCCCACAAACTTCCTACCCGACCATTTTAGGGCACGAATACATCAGTGACGTTTTCGCCATCGGCCCTATCACAGAGGGTCAAACAGCGGGACCTCAATTCAAAATAGGCGACCGCATAGGCGGCCACTGCACCACTTGCCCACCTTGCCTACGAGGCCAACAGCAGACGTGCTCCTCACAGCAGATCGCAGGCGTTAGTCATAACGGTGCTCATGCCGAGTATACACTTTTGCGAACGCAAGCTGCGGTGTGAGTGCCGCGGGATATGGATCCCGCCTCGACAGCGCCATTTCTATGCGCAGGGTTAACTGTTTTCAACGGTATCCGGCGCATGAACATCCCACCAGGGAGCGGTGGGGGTGGATTCGTAGCCATCCAGGGCTTGGGCGGGCTGGGTCATTTGGCTGTGCAATATGCAAAAGCGATGGGTCATCGCGTCGTGGCTATTAGTAGGGGAGAAGAGAAAGGGGAGTTTGCGATGAACGAGTTGGGAGCGCATGAATATGGCGTTTGAGCTGATGGAGGCGGGGAAACCAAAGTATAGGAATGTGTTGGTAATGGAGTAGAGGGATTGAGACGAGATGTTTGATGGTGGGGGATTAGAAGCCTCAATTCTCTAGTTACCTAGCCATTTCTCTTTTGCTTCTAGTATCTTCGGCTGTACGGGTTGGCGGAGTGGCAGTGAGTAATCAGGTTGACATCGAACTTTAACCTCCTCGACACACTTGAACGCTAGGGAGCTCAGGCGTTGATGGGCATAATGAAAACATGGAACTTGAAATCAGTCAACGAGGACTACTTACGTGGACAAAGTCCATAGTAAAGCAGCTTGGGTTGTCGTGAAACCCGAAGCTATTGAAAAGGGGCAAGTAAACAAACACAAGCCAAGGGAGGTATGATAAGTGCTCGTGTAAGAACAGGGCTGTACACATAGAGTAAACGCCTTGTTTATTATGTGAATCATAACGAATTCTTGGAGGAACATTATCCAACGTAATGCAGGATCGAAAACTGGTGTAAACATGCAATGTTCGTGGGTATACAATCCGCGAAAGGGTATATCCAAAGGATGCGTGTGAGGAATCAAGAAAAACTAATATGTATATCGGAACCCGGCCTGTGATCCGATGTTAGCTTTCCTCGCAGTTGCATCAAAGTCTTTGGTCCGCTTACCGTTTTTTCCACAGCCCCGTTCGTACGTGCAGCCCGGTTGTTCCGGAAGTAGAAGTATATCGTAAGGACACCGACGAGTGAGATCATCAAGATATGGGACCTATACAACGAGATCAGCTTGGGCAGCCGCAAAGAAACGACAACATGAAGCCAAAGGTTCTTACCCGATCGACACCCACACAGCTGTAGTATATCTCGGAGCCTCAATATTGCGAACTATGTAGCTGCCAGCAATACCGCCGGCACCGTTGAACATGGTGCATGCAGCAGCGGTGAAAACGCGCTTCCATTGTCTAAGAGTATGTTAGCGGGTTACAACAAGTCCATTCCAATGCGTCTCCAACTTACCCAACAACATTGTTGGCCTGGTACGCGGTCAAAGCTGCCCAGTTAGCCACGTATGCTCCAGTCGAGAGGAATACTCCAAAGTAGCGCGCTCCAGAATTATCAGCAAATCCAAGAATAGCAAAGCCCGTGATCATGCAAAGGGCGTTAAAGGTAATGATAGGGCCCCTGATCCGGAACCGATCAGCAACCACGGACGACACTATGACCGGGACAACCGCGTAGTAGTAAGGCGGAGCCGAGAGAATGATGGCTTGGTTAGGCGAATAGCCCAAGCCATTCTCCAGAATGATGGGGACGAAGTACGCCAGGGCCGTAGAGACGACGTTCTGCATAAAGAACAGGCAGGCGAACACCCAGATCTTGAAGTCCTTGGCGTGGACAAGCACAGCCATCAGGCTAAACTTTTGGGCGATGAGGTCCCCGCGATCCTTCTCGATGCGGCGCGAGGCGATGTCGGCTTCTTCCTCCGTCAGGAACCAAAAGCTCTTGTGCGAGTTTTCGGGGAAGTCGACGATCCACCAGTACGTCGCGATACCCAGCACGCATGTGCAGAGACCTTGCACAACGAACATCCATCGCCATCCCTCAAGGCCTGCACCTCCGTTGCGCTGTTGGAGACCGTAGTTGACCAAGCTCCCAGTAGCCAGGATAATGACTTCCCCGCTCTGCATGAAAGCAAACCGGACCTGCTGTTCGCGGCGTGGATACCAGCAGCTGATGAGGTAGGAAAGACCGGGGTAGATGCCAGAAGATGTGGCGCCGAGGAGGACGCGCAGGGCGATCATCTGCTTCCAGTCCTTGACAAATCCGGTTGAGAGGGTGATGATGCCAAACGAGAAGGTGATGAAGCTGAACCAGATGCGGGGACCAAAGGTGCGCACGGCAATGGTCGAAGGTAGCTGGAAGATGATGCTCGCTACGGTGAAGATGAAGATGGAAACGGAAAAGCGGTTGCCGTGGTCGAGTCCCAAGTCCGATGGCATCGATGTGACGGCGGCGCTCGAGATAACACCGCTGTCGAGGAGGTTGAGACTACATAGGATTCCTGCGATCGTGCAAAGCCGTAAGTCTACCTTTCGGCGAATACGCCGTTCTTGCTCATGCGAGTAGCCGGTGCGTTGGGGGTCGGCGAGGTCATCCTGGCGCAAATCGACATTCTCAACTTCGTGATCACTGCGGGTATCGATTCCTGGTTTCTTCGTGCTTCGACTGCCTATACTATTTGGCCTCGAAGTGTCAGAATTGCTGATGTCAAGAGAATTGGAGTTCCTCGGCCTGGAATCGGGTGGGGGTTGATGAGATGGCGCCCTGCCCTCGATGGCAGGGGTGCTGGATGATATCATGACCAGGAAAGGGACTACCCCGTGGGGCAAGTTAGGACGATAAAGATGATTAGGAGCGTGATGCCATTAGGTGTTTGAGGAAAGCAAAGGCCTTATGGCAAAAGCGACAACATTGCGATGGGAACGTCGAGTCTTTGAGGAGGTCACCATTCATGATTTCAAATGCTCGCAAATGCTCGCAAATGCTCGACGTTGCAACCAGGACCGGAAGTTCTAGAATGACCCACCACTATATTGGTGGGAAAGCAGCCGTGGCATCAGCTCTGCCGCTACAAGCTAAGCTCTTTCCAGTCGTTGGTCTCCCCGGCGGTGGGCGGGAGACTTTGGCTGTTCGGCCTGGGCAAAGAGCTATCGCTGGATTGAGACATGTTACCCAATGAGGATGCATCGTTTTGGTCGCTGTGGGGCACCGAGGACACCAAAAAGTCAGTTGATTGTGACATTGCGATATCGCGCCTGCCGTGCTGCCTCGGAGTTTGCAGTGGCTGTTGTTCGAGAAATGTTACCCGAACTCTCTTCCTCACTTTTCTCCGGCTGGTGTCAGATCTTTCTCATGGAAGACAAGAAAAAGCCGATCATTCAGCCGCATAGCATCCAAAAAGATCCTTTGTGTCCCGGTGTTGAATAGGCCATTGGATACAACCCTCTTTCTTTTTTTTCGTCATGTCTCGCTTGATCGGTTTCGTGGTTCCGCGTCTTGCAGCAATGGCGTTCTGCATCAATGCACCGCTCCTCTTTCCCCGCGCCGTCGGCGGCGGCGCACCCCACGCTTTCGGGAGAAGCTTTTACCCCATTCAACAGTTGCAGGACCCCAGCTGCGCGCCAATCACAGTGGTCAAATTGAGGCACTCTCTCCTCTCTCACATGTCTCTCTCCTTCAGTTTCGGCACGTGCCGTTGCTTTCACACGACTTCAGACAAATATCGCATCCCATTCTCGCCTTCACAGTGAAGTTTAATATTGAATCGTTGTTCGTAAAAGAAAATGAATCTGCTTGCTGTTTGTCGGCCCCAAGAAAGAGAGTGAATAGAAGGCTTTCGTTAAGTTGAGGAGAGATGGATGGCAGGAAATATTGGCGCTGGTAGTGGGCAAGCGGCACGAAGTGTTGAGAAAACATCAGATGAGATGAAAACCAAGGTCCAAGGTTACAACACTCTAACTACGCCGAAGGACCCTGAGCCACGACCCGCTCAGGAAAAGTCTACAAGTATCGAGTTAGAGGCCTCGGAGCAGACTTTTCATCGAGCGAATTACAAGATAAAGACATAACCACCCCGAAAAAGCCCACCAGAAGGATAGAAGGGGACACAAAGAGCCGAAGCCACTGACCCAACCCTAACCCTTCCCCATCTCTCACCCTTGATCAAACACACCTACCTCCAAAGACACTGGCTTTTTCTGTCCCGCTCACGGGAGACTTATGTATAAAACTCTTATAGTCAATTTGGTACTGACGCCTCGCACTCTCTAGAAGCATCTCGAGCCTCATATCCTCATCTGCTCTTCTCCGAGTCTTCCTCATCATGACCGACACGGGACCAGAGTGCGACCTGTTGGGGCTGATGTTGCTCTGAACCTGAATGTAAAACAGAGAGAAGGGTATTCGAAACCCAACCGAAATACGGCACAAAACCGTGAGTTTTATCCTCTTTGATGGACTTATTGATCTGATAATTAGGAGTCTCGACATCCGGCGTGATTATCCCCGAGCCGAGTCGCCAGAACGAGGTAACACGAGAAGTGAACCATGACTTGGCCGTGGCAGTCCAGACTTCAGATGTCGCAGAAGTTACACAACGAGATCAAGGAATCATGTGCTCGTTTCCATATACGGTGTTGAGCTGTGGACACTTCTCGCCCATCCAAAGGGGGGCAAGCACGACATGGGATTCTCAGGTGTGGCTATAATTTCCGACTGGATTTCCATCGTACGATTGCCATTGCCATCGTAAGGGGTTTCATAGACCGCTCCGGAGGAAGGGAACAAAACTGCCGCTAGGCCCTCCGTCGTTCGCTCTAAACAGCCGGTCCGTCGGTCAGCAGGCGTTGGTGGCACCGCTTTTGAACTGATTCGGGGTTGGTTATAGATACGGAGCTCATCTTGGCCCACTTAGGCCTCCGATGCCCTTCGGTGTCCGGTCGCAGTCCGCATCGCATCAAGACCGGGATTGATGGCACTCGTATATGCCCAGACTGCCTTTATTCCCATGGCGTAAACCCGAAGTAGGGCTGTCTGTCACTTTTTCCAAAATTCAGGGTTCAAGAGCGGGCCTGCAAATCTGTCATCCATGCAGGGACACGATGAGATGTCTTAACAGACGGAGATGGTCAGCCATATCAAAGCGGCGGTAAAGCTATGGGGACTTCCCAGTTTGGTTTGCATGCGCAATACCCATTGGACCCTTCTTCAAAGATGCTCGTCTCCTATATGTCGGGAACAGCCTCTCCCGATACTTGACGTTGACAATGTCAAACAATCATCGTCAAAGGGGAGGAAATAAGGAGGTGTTTCAGACTTCCAAACAACAAGCTGATGTTGAGACCAACGACGTGATTCGCCCAAGCTACACCGCGCTTCCCAGTGGGGAGCCTGCCAAGACATGGTGGCTTCCGTAGCCTCATTGCTGTCGAACGGTAACAAGCCACAGGAAAGCTTGCACGTCTCTCTCTCTCTCTCTCTACTCTCTCTCTCTCTCTCTCTCTCTGTCTCTGTCTCTGTCTCTGTCTCGGGGATCTCACAAGATCCTCAGGGGCTTGAACAACTACCGGTGTACACTAAGATCTCAAGTATTGTACACGTGTAGTGACGTAAAGGAAGCGATTGTCGACTGCTCGGGTCTTTCCGAGCAGTCTAGATGTTGATGTGCGATGTCGAGATTCGTGGTGCATGTCAGATCGAGCTAAGAGAATGCGTTTGCTGTCTGTTGGCACAACTTGGCCCACAACGCTTCCCAGTCGCAATTTTATTCTTCCCTGGTGCCCGGCACTTGCCAGTTATCGGTAGAAGGCTTCTTCTTTGTCTATCGCATAGCTTGTCGTCGTTTCTCGGGCTGAGGGTAGCTGACCACTGCGGCGAGCTTTCAGATTCTGCGTGCTTCTAGCATCGCAAAGTATTCGTATGACGATGGTTTTCCCGCCACTTCAGGAAAATCAAAAAAAAAACCGACACCCGATATTCTTCCTCCATGGTGCATGTTGCCTGAAGAATGATCGCCACATTCATAACGGTGGATACCTAAGGAGCATTTGATATTGATATGAGAGAGGTGGTGGATAGGTGTACTTTGTAGAACATTTGGTACCTAAGTAGTAAAGCTTCCGCCGACACCACGTGTCTCTGTTATCGCGATAAGTCTTCCCGACCGATCGGTCTGATCGATGACTAGATAGAACTCCATTGGCCGTTCCCCTCGTAGGTACAGGGCAACGCCTTGGTAGAAGGCCCGGGAAGGATCTTAAAACAAGGACATGGACTCCGGGGACTTCCAGATGGTAGGTTGGTGCCGCGTCGAGTCTGACGAACAAAGCTTTAACGTCTTGTGCGATCGATGGGGTCAATGATGGTTATAATCCAGGCTGTGATTGCTCTCAGGCAGGGGGAGATGGACGTGGAGCAGGTTGTTCTCCGCGGTGCCCCTGTCCCCTTCTGTAATCCGGACCATCACGAAAGACTGGGTGGAAGCCAGGAAGTGTCCAGCAAAGACGGATCGAGTAGTGTCCTCGGCTGGCCAAATATTGGTCGGCCATCCACTTACTGAATTTAATGCGTACAGAGTAATCAATACTCTCATCTTGAAACCAGTCAGGACGAGCTTCAGCGCTATAGCGAAATTCCTATATTGGGAAGTTGGCGCATAGACATCGTGCCGGCTCCTGTACAAAAGTCTTTTGACATCCATTCTGACATGGATGGGATAAAACTCTGCAAGGAGATCTCGAGATGGCAGCCCAATTCGCGTGCGGGGTGGTTTGGGTATTAATTGGAGATGATTACGCAGACGAAGTGGTATGGGCTAGCGCGAGGTATCGTGCCTGCCGGCTTTCGCTTTTACATACGTACCTTACCAAGCGTACCGACTGACCTTGCAGTGGTGACTGATGACAGGCATGAAGAGGCCAAACTATGCGTGACCGGACCAGTTTTCTGATGGGAATGTTGCCGAAGAGAAAGTTCGAGATGATACGATCCATGAGTCGTGACCGCAAAGATCTGCAACCCGAAAACGTTTTGTTCATCCGTTCAAGGGGAGCCGGCAGAACCACCGCCATTGGCTTCTCTCAGAGCCGGCCCCCGAAATATCGCATCTGAGGCTTTTGACAATCTGAACGTGTTTGCGTTGTGTAACAACCGTCCACCGCCAGACTGACGTTGTCTTCGTATAACTCAGGCAGACGAGAGACATCCAACTCGCCCATTGACTAGTTAAGTGCTTTGCGTTCAAGGACAGGGCTTCCCCGAAAGGTGTGAGCAGGCTGCATTGGCGTACGGTAGTGAATAAAAAATTGACACAGGAAGCTTACCGTGAACAGTCAAGACGGTGTACCTGTACGGTGTCTGGATACCATAGCATCGGACCGGGTATGTCGGCTCACCCAGTGTGATCTGCGGATTACACAGTGCCAGTGTGATTCTGTCTTGATTGGCCGGGTGTTGACCAGCTCGGTTCTGCCTTAGCTAGCGATCATGTTGTAGCGGACTGGACTCCGTTGAAGTAAGCAGTCCGGTCGTGGTGCTGTGCCCTGTTCATGTTGAGCAGTTACATGATGCCGCTTCAGTGGTGTATATTGGCTTCCACGAAAGTTCCAAGTGAAAGACACTGCCCATCCACCCATGTTGCTTGCTTTACCAATCTGTTTGCGTCCACCAGAATACCTAGGTTGTACAAAGATGATGCTGGTTGGCAACGGTAACGACTTGGGCAAGTAGACGAGACGATCCCGGTGTTGGTGGCACGTCAACAAACCCGTGGCTTCTTGGCCCATTCCATGACTTTCAAATGGCTGAGGGATAGGCCTGGGATTCTATCATGCTAGGTAGCGAGCATCGTACTGTGCAGTATAGTCGTGCGATGATGATGGATGCTCAAAATAATGCATTGGCAGGCAGAAGCCAAGGGAGGCATGGGTTGATTACCTGTCCGTTGAGTTTCGATTCCCATCAGTAGTGTAGGATTGGGGTTCTAGCGAACTCTGAAACAAACCCAGCGAAGATGTTTGTTTATACACCTGTGAGCGTCCGTCGAGGAGCATCGCGAACATGCTATGATAAGGGCAGCATCTGCCTGGGTCGTGCCCTCAGGAAGGTTTGACCCATGAATGACAATTTTCAACTCCTGACTTCCACATGAGGCTCGGGCCGTGAAGCGGGGTTTCTGTATGCCTAGAAGGCACAGAGGGGTCGAGAAACCTATGGTAGTGTCTCGATGTTCATTTTCAGGGGACCAGACTCTGCAGCCGAAGAAAGGGGGAACTCTATGCCTTTTGTCGAACCGACAAATCAAGAGTCAGATAAGGTGCCAAGAAGGGCGAAGGGCCACATAGTAGCAGGTCAGCAAAGGAGAAACAAGACCCCCGCCGATCATGACATAATAATCAGGCGTGAAAGACGGGACAGAAGTTCCCAGTGGGGTGGGACCCCGATAGGTTGAACCAGTGAGGTTGAAGAGTCGGTGTCGGCAGCCACCTCATTTGACTTTTTCTCCCGAGAAATTCAGGAGGGGTTCTGGGTGTTGAGTTACACAGTACGTATCTGTGTGTCGACTCGCAGTTTGGCTGCCAGATCTTTTGACGGTTGGACTTTTTTCTGAGGTATGCCTCTTCTTGTGTCTTGTATTGCATGGTTCGCATGGCTCTTCTGTTGTTCCCAATAGCTCGTTGCTTCGAAGCAAGGTAGGCTCATTCTGGTGCATCGGCTCGCAGTTCGTTGGGAGTCGGAGGTGGTCGGAGGTGGTCGGAGGTGGTCGGAGGTGGTCGGAGGTGGTCGGAGGTGGTCGGAGGTGGTCGGACGTGGGATGATAAGGGAGAGAGCCCTGAAGATGTCAGTCGAGCCATTTGAGAGAATAAAAGACATGGACAGGTCGGCGGTGGAAGAAAATGCGTCTACTTTAATGTTTCCGAGCCTTTTCGGGTGGATTGGGGTTCGGATTCACGGGAAGACGGCCTGGTCGAAGTTGCCAAACCAGATAACCTCCTTCAGAATAGTTCCAAGCGAATTATTTCCATGTGCCTTTCCTCCTTGCAGCACTCTGCGCACGCAACAATAAGGCAGGCATGTGGTCTGCAGCATCTGCAGGCATGCCACTTTCCCCTCCAAAAGGTAACAATGCACTTTGCTGATATCGATCTTTTTTATTTCTTTTGATTGGGGGCGCAACACCGTGTTATGTCGTTTTGTGTGTCGTGAGATTCACCTCTAACACGGGGTGGACAGCTCTCCGTGAAGTAAGAAAGGACAATGCTGTACCTACGTACATGAATAATAAGGGACCTGGGAAAACGCTCTGCAAGAGTAGCAGATAGGAAAGACAAGGGACGGGCAGATTGAAGGATTGGATGATGGTTGGAAGGATTGGATGATGGTTGGACAGATGGGTGCTTGATGGATGCTAGCAGGACAGTGGTCAGTGCACAGTGAGTCTGACATGGTGGCTGCAAAGAGATGAACCAATCAGATGTGCGCACTGTGGCGTCACCGATCGGCAATCTGGGAAGAAGCAGCGACCCAGCGCGTTGTGTCGTGTCAGTGGGACTGGGGGGGGCGGGCTCCCATTTTTGGCCTAACCAGAAATGAACAGTGGGAGACGACGTGAGGCTTGCCGCCGCTTCAGTTGCAACTTCTCCATCATTCGTTTTCTCCATCCCAATTTCCCCACCACGGGGCCGCAGCCCGCAAGAGGTTTTCGAGGACGGTACCATGCAACTAGAGCAACCCAAATGCAGCTAGATTGTGAGACCCACTTGTCCCTCCCTCGTGGAGCCGAAATGTAATGTGGCTGCCGCCATCGCTACCATACCACCTGTGTTTGATAACCATCGCCTTTGCCTCAAGTGCCTCTTTGACGCCGTTACCATAGGGCATATGTAATGGATATGTCATGGGATTAATGGGAAATGCCAAAACTCCATCATTGCTGTCAGATATCTTTGACTTGCCACTGTATGTGTGTTTTGTGGTTGCCCCCATCAACTCGATATGCCATCCAGGTCTGCTTGGACCTCCTGCCAGATCCAAACGGAACGGATGAACATTGCATTCTGGAAGGTTGCCATGGAAGGCCGGGAGTGACACTGGACTCGCTCACAGACCATCATCTTAACTCCCCTCGCTCCCCTCCCCTCTTTCAAATAGCACCTCGGTCACTGAACCCTCCGGGGTCAGGGGTTGGTGAAGGCCCTATACCAGGTGGGGGGGAGGAAAACCCTACTGAAAAGGGAAGGGACGTAGAAGTCGGCCAAGAGGGGAATTGAGAATCGGCTCCGAATTTTGCAAAGTCGAAAGAGAAGGTCCTTGCGGTCCCGTCCAAGCCGTCGTTACGCCCAGGGCTCCTCCCAGGGCTACCGCGTTCCAAACACGGACGTCTTTGGCTGGCGAGCGTTCCCTTGTCGGCAACCACAACCACCTGCACCCATCAAAATCCAAAAATGCTTTGCACCCAAATCTCAGCCTCCCACTCCCCACCTGCACTGCTGCGGTTCCATCATTGATTGCTTCCACTTCACCACTACTGAGTTGTTCTCTTCTGTGAAACAGGAAAAGCAGAAGAACCAAATATTTTTCTTCGCTCAATTGCCAAGTAGCGGTATACGAGGCGCCGCTTGGAGGCACCGGACTCGAGTCGCTCGCTCGCGTACACGTAAACACGCCGCATCTTCGTCGTCCACGTTCCTCGGTTCGGCGCCCCAAGTCAACGAAAGACACGACGCCGCACAGTGGGAGCACAGGCACCCGGAAACGAAAACACAAATAAAGGCGTGAGGGTGTACAAAAGTGTAAATAAATAAAATAAAAAAAGGTATGTTGGCGTTGTGGTGGTGCAGCAGTGTCGCGGTGTGAGAGGGCTTGCCGCAGGCTTGCAGTTGTTGCTGCCAATCCTTTTATTTTCTTTGGTTGCCGTCATTGCTTGGCCCAGGGGCACATCGTCAACCACCAAAACCGCCATCCGATCTCTGAAGTGCAGTGGTTTTTCATCTCTCATCCCTTCGGGCCTCCGATCGACAAGCGCGTTGCCCTAGCGAGCTGCCACAAAACAGCTTCTCTCCTCGGAGGGTTTGCGCTCTCCAGTCGCTCCTGTGACCACAGCGAACAGAAGCACCTCAAGCCCCTTCGCAGCCAGTAAAAAGGCCTCCCAAAGTTGGCAAGGCACAGCTCGCTGATCGCGGCAGAAAACAGGTCCAAGGCCGTCTCCTGACCAGCCCCCGTCGGCCACCCAGCAAGGGGTCCACTCGCCGCCTCCATCCCTCCTTTTGCTCCGTCTTTTCGCTGTCCACCGCACTCACTCGACGGCCCTCTGGCCTTTCAGGTCTGCATTTCGTCCCCGTCTGCAAATCTCAACCTGTTCGATTCTCGTTCTGCCTCCAAATCCACCGACTCCAGGGTTCTCCCATCCCAGCATCCTGCCAGCATCATTTCGGACAACCGCGAACCTACAAGGCAAAGAAGGCCAAAAACAAGCATCACGCGAGCCTCACTCAAGGGTCCCAGCCCGGAAACACAAGAGACATCACATCACCGAGTAGCAGCCAGCCGGTGCTCGCTACCTCCCTCAAGGGTTGGTACACCACCTTCAAGTCTTCAACCCGTCATATTATCCCGCACACCCGCCAACCCACCCACCAGCTGGCAACCTCTTTGCCTGCCCATACCATATTCCATATCCCATCTCTCTTTTGCGCGGACGCAGCATTGCACCGCACCGTACCGCACCGTGACCCTTTCAGGCCCGGCGCTCACACCACGCCTTCTCTAGCTTCCTCGTGCACACCTGCCTCCACAAAGGTCTTGGCCGAAACAAAACGACTAGGGTCTTCCTCATCACTACACCACTTTCCCCGACTTTTGCTTACTGCCTATACAAAAGAAGGCAGAGGGTAGGGTACCGTCTCGATATCCTGACGTCGTCAGTTCTGCTTCGGCCCAGCCCGTCCCTCTGCAAAAGGCAACCCTCGACCACTTAGCCCACGGGCCCACGACCCACGTTTTTAGCTTCCTCGCTGCTGCCCCGTGCAGCCTTTTGCTCCAGTCCCCCCTTTTGGGTGCCAACGATCGCTTGTCTGCTCGGAAAGAAAAAAAAGCGCTTTACCCCTTGAACGAATCTGTTCCTGCGACACCATTCGCATCCACAACCGTCTATTTTTGTCTCGTGGAAATACGGGACGAATTGTCAGTGGGAAAAAAAGACACCGCCTTATCAACAGGAAGGGCGCAAGAGGGAATCGTGCCACAGGCGGACACTTTCATCCCATCGACACCGACGCACTTCTCTCGTGTGACCTTTTCCGGTCGCAAACACATTACGACTGTATCAGCACCGCTGCCCGTCGTGGCCTCATAGTCGACAATATGATGGAGGACAACAACATGCATGTGGGCAAGGTACCCGGAATGGAGTGGTCAGATTCATCATCCGGGGCGTCCGACGACCAACAACATGACCAGCAAGAGCAGCCAGTTATTCATGCCCCAGTCCCGATACGACCACGATTGCCGAGCCGAAAGAGCAGTGGAACTATGATCGTACCGCGCGACTCTATTGAGGTTGGCCCGGTCGAGATGGCGCTTGGGCCTGACGACGTGAGGGCCATGAGTCCAAGGAGAACGAGCCAGGACCTTGAAATGTTGAGCAAGGAGGCAAGGGAAGAGTTGCAAAGGTGAGTTCTCACCTACCAATGACAGCTGCTATTGACGGTGTTTGCGCGGTATGCATGATAGGTATGCTAACTGTGAATGATAGGCACGCAAAGGCACTTCAGGACTCGCTGTTGGCCCTCTTCCACCGCATCGAGGCCGTCAAAGAGGAACACAACAAGCTCGACAACAACAACAAGTTCCTACAAAAGTATATTGGTGATCTTATGAGCACCAGCAAGATCACAGCACCCAGCAGCCGACAAAAGAAATGAAAGACGTCTACTATCATCACCAGCGTTGGTGTAGCTGGGATGACGAGTGGTGTTCGGCAGGAAGAATATGGCTTCATCAAAAAGAACCGACCTAATTCAGGCTATGATGCCTCACGACACGATCCGACTCGAATTCGCCTACAGGAGGGTTATATGGAAAAGCGACGAGCGTTTACCGACTTGGCGGTTCTCAACAACGCGGAACCTTTTGAGCCATTTTTTTTCGTGGTGTACCTTCAGAAGGAGTTGGTTCCGTTGTGCCTGCATCAGCATCCGATTGAAGATGGCACGCGTCAGTTCTGTTCCCGACTCAGATTTTTGATCCGACGATGAAAACGGTCCAGGGCCTTGTGGACGTCTGCACGGCTTTTGGCCGTGGAGCATCCGGCTCATACGCATCATTATCTGTTGTTTTACCATTGGCGTCTACCATGTGTTTTTGGGTTCTTTTCAACTTCTCTTTCTTTGTTATTTTGCGAGTCGCCTTGCCTTCACATGGGTTAAGAGTTTGATACCATTTATACGCGACTCGCTCTGGGGTGGCATGGAAAATTATCACTGGGGAATTATGCACTATACATTGGCCAAGGCAACGACCACTTGGCCGACGAGCTTGGTTACTGGACATGGGCTGGGGAAGCATTACACTATGGCGTTGTCCGGAGTCTCGTCTGTCTATTTTGGGCCAAGTTGGCTTGTTATCATTAGGATATGGAGAGGAGGATTGTGCAAATAGGAAACTTCTGTTTGTTGAAGAAAAACTGACACAACGAAATACAAGACCAATGTCCATGCAAGGTCAGTCATCGCAACTCCAAAGGAAGAGTTCATCAGCTGTGCTTGTTACCTGGATGAGAAACCTTCGTTATGTCATGAGGCGCAGATTCCCGGGTTTCGGTAGTACGGTGGTAACGCCAGAGCATCGTTTCTTCGCCATGGTAAGCTTGCGCCGCTCGATGTTGACGTCAAGCTGAAAGGATCAAGAACATAAGCCGCCAGGCTGTCAGCATGGATAGACAATTTGGATTATCACCGGCATTATGCCACGGAACCACGGGATAGACAAGATTTTAGACTTTTTTCTGTTTTCAGGGTCCTGGTTGTTGTTAAACCTTGGAGCTTCTGGGGCTCCAGTCAGTTCTCCGTCAGGCCGGACACGGACACGGGCACAGTTGGGCAGGCACTCACCCAAAAGGTGCCAAAAAAAAAATGACCCTGATTTTCGCGGTTGCACTGTGCTTGTGAACGCTTAGTCGCACGCACCCGCGAATGAATGAGGTTCCATGGAAGGGTTGTCCGTCTCGGCCGGCGAGCAGAGCCACGGTTTGTTCGAATCTGGAAAGCCGAGCGCAAAATGAGGAGAGGAGGACCCACAAAACTGTCTCCTCTTCTCTGAATGATCTGATCAGGTCCATCTGATTTCACGTGTGGATTTCAGGGGCCCAATTCATCGCGGTAGGGAAACCCCTTCTTTCATTTTGTGTTTTTGCTGTTACACTACACTACTCCGCCTTCGGCGCACTGCCGGCCGCTTCCCCCTTTTCGTTGTTGTTGTTTTTGTTTTTGTTGTTTTTTGTTGGCCGACAGGGTACTGTAGAGAAGAGAAGAAACCCATTTTGCGTACCTACGATACTACTTTGGTGATGCACACAGCTCCCTCCCGAACTGTCCTATGAAAAAGAAATTTGCACAGGGTCACGGTCACAGGGATAACAGCCTCATGAACTGCTGGGGGTCTGTCTCCCCGCCTTTTGTCAGTTGTATGTATTTCCGGCTTATTGGTTTTTCATGGAAGGGAAGCTTAAACAAAAAGTGAAAAATCCCATCCTTGAACTTTTGTAAAAACGACTTCTGGGAAAATAAGACAGATTTTGCTCGTTCAAAACCTCCATGTAAATCCGCTGAGGTTTCTTCCAAGACGGGACCGCGCAGTGTTCGTCTTTCTCCTGTTCAGCAATCAGCAAAAATTACCTTGCAAATGATCCACTCAACACTGCTTTGAACTGATTGAATACATTCCCAATCCCGCCTTCCGCCCGACAGCTGGTGCACACCTCGCCCACCGGGCCACCACCCAGACAGACGGCACGCTGCCGCACTGTATCGTAAAGGATCACAAACACGGTGGAAGAAAAAGAATTCCACCAGCCAACCGGCACTGCGCTGCACCACTGCCTGCACCCTTCGCACAGGTAGGATGCACGCAGGGATTTTGTTTGTCAGCCACTGCAGTCGTCGGCCGTCGCAAGCATTGAAAGAAAGCAACTGCTTGGAAGGGATGGCGTACGTGTGGATGAGAGTGTGCATTGTAGCTAGGTATGTAAGCAGACAAACATTGCCGTTAAAACAACTTAGCAAAGTCAAGCCCGCGTGGCGCAATTGGTTAGCGCGTCAGACTTTTACGGACAAAGTGAAGTGATCTGAATGTTGCGAGTTCGAGTCTCGCCGTGGGCGGCTTGATTTTCTTTTTTTTTCGCTTTTTCTGCTTTGATTTCCCATGATCCATTTGGCCGATGGTGTTCTCTTCAATTTTTGCGATCGCATGGTGAAAATCAATCTCTTGCTGCTTCCTGTTGTGAGCTTTTATTTTGTCGCGATGCATTGCTTGTTTCTTTGGTGGATTGTCTTCTGAGTTAGGGTCTGCATATTTCACGCAAAATCGGCAGTTGAGATCAGTTGTTTGCGGTGCAGTTGATACTTCGCACCTTCCACATTTTCTGCCCACACCAATGTCGAGATTTGCTGGGGGAAACATGCGATTTGAGAAAACCTTTGCGGCCATCAACCGAGGCGTCGAAGACGGTAAAATCGATGAATAATTTCCTCCGGGCCTGCCTTTGTTTCGCACTCATTCCTCCATCCATTCATTCACAGCGTTCACGACATCCATACCACACGGCAAATGGCGAAGAAAGATCATGGAAAATGACGATTCGATAATCTTTGCTTTGGATCCATCGACCATCAAGTCACCTTTGCCCGGGCCGTATACACGCAACACTTTATGTCCAAAGCACGGTCGCGGGCAGAGGTAAGTCGACGTGGTCCAGCATCACTTTGACTGACCTGGGGCCGGCATATTTGACTTCTCTGGATGTCTGCTCAACATCTACAAACGGTCTGGCTGTTCCATTCAAGGAAATCAAGAACAAAGGCAACAAAATGACTTGTCCTTCTCGAGCGCCATGATAGGCGTGGGCCACCTTCTGTCTCGTTATACTTGAGATTTTTCCTAAGTAGCTTCAGCTCACAAGCCCGCAGTTGGAATAAGACGTCTGTTCTCACACGCTGCGATCCGAAAAGAAGCAACAACGTGGTGTCCTCGGATCAAGAAAGCTGAGTGTCCTTCTGTCCGTTTCTTCGAATCGGAAACCGAGGGTCACCTTCTATCGCGCATCTGGGAACGTGGTCGATTCGGATGAAGAAATTCGAGTGTCTGTCTTCTGTTCGCAAGAAGATTCATTTGTCCGCCTTTCTGTCCCGTTGACATAGTTACCTACACTAGTGGTATCCAGTAAACTCATCAAGTGAGCCAAGTATTTCGGTTGCACAGATGATTACATCTACACTGGGCAAAGTTTGCCTTTTTGCAGTTGCTTTTCGAGGCAGGTGGGATGAGCCGGCTGGGGTTATCAGATGGGAAACTGGGTGAGGTATTAGACTCATGAGCGGCTGTTTTCGTTCTTTCCCTCCATCCCAGCAAGTGAGGACGACGAGGCTATCTGCATCGCGTAGCGGCAAACGAGGCCGGGATTTCGGCCCCGGTCTCACGCACCTGCCAATTTTCAAGTGCAAATGTGCCGGACTACGGCCGCCCTGAAACTTTGAGCCTCAACGTGGGGGTGTGGCTCGTCTAGCTGTGCCTCCCTCTCCCCCTTCGCCCCCTGGCTGCTGAACATATTCAATGGTCCAGCGACTTCTCTGCACCGCATATCACGTCACTGTCCTGGCGGTCAGTTCTGGCAAACTAATCAGTCCTACTGCAGATCTGTTTGCTTTCTTTTCAGGAGGGGAGAGTTAAGGAACCCCTCAACGGGCAGAGCGGAGAGAATCCTGCTTAAGGAGCGTCACCTGTTGAAGTTGAGATCAGTTGGAATACCCCAGCCACCTGTCTGCCATCTGCAACAATCCATACACAGTATTCATCCAACGAGCAGGTAACACAGCCACAAAGTTGTTGAGTTCAGGGACTAGATTGAACCCCTCCTCCTTCAATCCCCTGGCTCTTATTGGCCTTGCCCTAATCAAGGGCTGTAAATGTAGGGCTGTAGGGGCCCGTGTGATGCGTCATCGAAGAACTCCATGTGCATACTGCCCAGTTAAGGTCGGCGCGTCAACCAGGTAACAAGCCACACGCGTTTGTTTCCTCGGCCGAGGGGTGTATCCGCCCCAGAACTTCAGCCCTACCTTGTGCCCCACACAAACTTTTCCTTCTATGTAAACCTCTGCCCGTAATCTTGTCCACTCCCTCTTTTCTTCCCTATAACACACTCTCACTTCTTGTCATCCTCCACGAGGCAAGTCGTGAACCAACAACAACAAGATGGCCACCACCAACAACACCCCGGCGTCGCCGGCAGCCCCATCTTCACTGCTGCTGGCAGCGTCGACGCCAACTCACTTTCACCTGGCATCGCCTTGATCGCCACGCTCATCGACAAGGTCCTTGTATGGACTTGTGGCTCACTCTCCGAGCTGAGCGCGTTGCTTCCAAGAAGAGGTCAGTTCAGTTTGACATCATTACCTTTTACCTCATGTTCCCCTCATCGCGTCATTTCTCATCTTCACGATCTTCACCTCTCCTTCGTCCACCAGCTCAAATGTTGCGGTTGCTTCAACCTCTTTCTATAATGGCATCTGAAGCGATACTGACAACATCGCAGACCCACCATCACCAAAGATCTCTTGGTTATTGCTGTCAACGCGGCACTTTCACAGTTAGGTGGCAAAGGGCCCCAGCCCGACAACGAACACCGGGTATTCGAAGTGCCGTTTGAAGAGCCAACGTGTTGACCACTACACCAACCACGCTTTGCTTTGTTGTTGAATATCAGGTCTGTTCGACGACCCAGCAGCACCAGCAGAAGCACCGCTACCAGAAGCAGAGACCATCTCAATAGGTCTCGATCATTCTCAGCATTTCGAGATCCCATTCCCGCAACTGGAAGGGATGCCGCCCTTACAGACTGCCAATTTCTTCCAAGGCCGCGTGGGCCGCAACCCACGCCGCAACCTCATGCGCAGACCCTCCCAGAGGTCCCTCAACACCAGGAACCTCCAAACCAGGCCGGTGCGCCAGGTGATCCCTAGGCCATGTGTAAGTGTCCGCCGTTCTTCCCCGACATTCCTGGACCCCCACTGACTCGCAAACAGACGGCGGTTATGACAATTATGTGGCAGTCATTCAAGCTCTGGTCCCGGACTCACATGCATCCATCCCTCACCTCATCAAGCCAAACCAATGTCTTCTACCGTCTGAACCTCATTGGGGTCCTTGATCGCTTTGATTTTGTGACATATCCAGTGTGTCATCCAGTAAACGACGCGGTGCTTATTCACGTCAGACCCAAGTCTTCGACTACCCACCGCCAAAATGCCCGGAGGTGTTTGCGCTGTTCTCGACTACGAGGTCGAGCTGATGGCCGACCACGTTTCCGAAATGGCAACTCAAATTGTCATGCCGCAAAGTGCCGTCAACACCGCTTTCAGGAGTGAGAGCAACGCCAACGAGTTCCCTACCCCTCTCCTGGTCATCGTTCCTTACTTCCTCTCCCTTTTCGTTACCCTCTTCGGGCTGTGACTTTGACGACGAGACCGATCTGGACTCCGGAAACAAGGACTCTCAGCAAACCAGGAAGCGCAACTACCTCGACATCGACTTCAAGGTGTACCGCCCCGAAGACATACAAAAACAGCAAGATGACCCAGTCGACGAGGTCAACCAATTCTTCCGTCTCGGGCGGCCAGTCTATTCGAGCTCCGCCCTCGCTGGATAGAGGACGATGTAGTTTGACGGCTTTCTCGAGCGCAGTCGCAAGTGGTAGTGGTCTTGGCCTCGCCGAGGTCGCTGCCACCTCTGAGCTGGGCGTCCTATACGTCGTAGGTTCAGTAGCCCGCAACGGGCTGGATTAGGCAAAGGCCCTCGGACAGCCCGTCACCTTCGGCGCCCGTACGCGTTAGGCAACAGGCGCCCTTCCAGTCACCCTTGTCTCCAACACCGAGGCATCGAACCCAGATTCAACCTGTAACGACTCCTCTGACTCTTCCTGCGAAGAGACATCTCTCCCAGTTCAAGTCTAACAAGGAGCCCACCCGTGTGGAGTTCGACGGAACTGGCATATCCGTCTTCGAACTAAAACATGAAATTATCCTGAAAAGTGCGCTGGGCAATGGCACTGAGGCTTTTGTTTCGTCTCTCCCAACAGCGACCGGGCACCTCTCATATTTCCGGGGCTGTGAGCAGCGCTACTGCCCACAACAGGAGTGAACCAAAGTCGCTAGCGAATGACTCGATCAACAACCTGCCCATCTCGGACTACATGGACCGTCAGATCCATATTTTTTGTGTTGTTTTTCCAGAATCACGGTCAATGCCGACGGAGAGTTCGTCATTGCCGAGCCTGACAAGGCTTCATGGGAACAGTTTCAGGAGCGTGGGCTGGGGCGCCCCATCGACCACAAGTTGTTCATAGACCCAATGAAGACATCACTCCAGCCCACGCTCCCCCGCGGCAACAACTGCCATCACAACCGCGGTTGCATCAACCGGAATAGCAACACCAGCAGCCGCCAAGGGCAGACGCCCACACCCAACC